TTGGCAGCTCAGCAGCTGCTCAGCTCGAGCCGGGCATCAAACCGCTGTTGCTCAGAGCTCAAACTCTTGAGCGAGCTCTTAACCAACTGAGCCACTCGGCTGGCCCAACAAGTATCTTAATTATTTTCCCCAATATTAATTTTCAATCCACATTGTAATTAATCTCTCTACAGCATTTGACACTGGACAGAGGCGAATAAGCCTTAACCCTCCGTTGGGCACAAATGATCTTACAGGTTCATTGTACACAAATTTTCAAATATGAAATATATCTTTACTAAGTCACAAACACGACTGGTGATAGGTTACGGTAGAGGGGGAAGTTACAGAAGCGATGAGTCACGATACTTAAGTTAACTGTTAGATATTTGAAAATTTGTGTGCAATGAATCTGTGAGATCAGTTGCGGCCTATGGAGGGTTATTAAGGAAACAAGAGAAGGAATAACCAGAAAGGTAGGAAGGAAACCAGGCAGTCAGCATTATAGAAGCCAAGAAAAGAAGGGATTTGTTGATATGGGTCAGGAGGGGCATGGGCACTGCTGGGCACACAGACGTCAGTTTACAATGAATGCTTCTCCTCTACCTAGCCAGTAAAATTCAGTTTCTCAAATTCTATCTTAGGCCCTCTCATCTTCTCACTCTAGACTCTCCTTAGCTTCCTCATATCCTCTCTTTGCTTCTGTTACCACCTACACACAGATGATCCCCACACTGACATCTCCAGTCCCTACCTCTCTTGTCAACTGTCAACATGACATCTATGTTCAACACCTACAGTATGTTCCAAACCAAATCCCAGACCTTCTTCCTCAAGCTGGATCCCCTCTCAGGGTTCCCTAGCACAGTGAAGGGCACAGTGAAGGGCACTGTTTTATAAGTAAAAACCCTGGAGTCACCCTTAACACACCCTTGGCTCAGAGTCCGTCCATCGGGTTCTTTTGATTTTATCTACTTCGTAGCTCTTGATGTAGATCTATTCCACTACCACCACCACCACCACAATCCAAGCTCCCTTCCAGGTACTCTGTACTTGAATTATCACAAGAACCTTCCAACAGTCTTTCTGCAACCAACAAACTCCTTACACTACTGCCTCTTTCCCCAGTTAGTGCTTATTCTTCTTTCTTCGAACACTTATCATATCCTTGCGAGAGCCTTCCCTACTCGGTCTAGTCCTCGTATTATAAATTCTTGTTATACTATGCACCAACGCCTTTATAGCATTTATCACCATTATAATTTTATGCTAATTTGTATAATCTTGATTAATGTCTGTTTCCTCTGCCAGAACTCCACATGAGCAGGAAATACTTAATTTTATTATTAACACTGTATCCCCTATGTACGGCAATGTGCCTGGCCTTTAGTTGGCACTTAAAAGATACCTGTTCAATGAATGAATAATTGATTGAATGAATGAACTATGTGGCACAGAAAGATCACATAGCTATTGGGAGGAGAGGGAGTCATAAAACAGCCTTAAAAGTTGTCTCCTTTCCTTCTTATCTAACTCCATCCTCACCAAACAATTTCTTCATTTTAAATTTCATTTCCCAGGTAAGTTGAATTATACCGGAAAAGGGCATCAGAAAAATTCCTGGGTCCCAAGGTCCCATGTAATAGAGGTAAAGGACAAGAATTCTGGAATCAGACAGTTTTAGATACGAGTCCCAGCTCTGGCACTTGCTAGCAGAATGACTTTGAGAAAGTCAGTTCAATGCTGAGCTCAGTTTTCTCATCTATTAAATGGAGAAAAAGCTCAAATCTCTCACATGAGATTAATGACTTAATAAAATACAGAACATAACAGATTGCTGGGGTTACTTTTTGCTACTATTATTTTACTATTGCTATTATTTACTAATATTACTACAAAAGGTTACACTAATAATAATATGAGAGGGACTGAATAGACTGGTGGCTTCTAAAGTCTCTCCCAGCTAATAATTAGGATTCCATTATGTTGCTAATGATAAATAATTTTCTTTTTGAAAAATACCTTATCTTGCATGAAACTGCAGCATGGGAAACCTAAGGGACTATACCCCCAACAAACTGGACTCCTGAAAAACATTCTTGGAAAAACACTGCCCCAGGGCCAGGAAGGTATCATTTTTTATTGAATGCCACAGAGTTGCTACCTGCTATGCCATTTTTCTGGGGCTTATTGGTTTATAGTGAACACAGAGAAATTATTTTTTTTTTTCTCCCTCCACCCCTTGCCCCAACAGAGAAATTCTGAAGCAGGCTATACTAAGCCAATCCTAACCTCTTAAGTGTAGGGAACCCCCCCCCAAAAAAAATCTTTCCACATGTGGTCTGATTTGACTTATGGCCCAAGTACATGGCTCAGGAGGGATTTCACGGTTTGGTGCACACCTGTTCTCCCTGTCAGTTACCATCCTAAACAACTGGGATACCTGGGATCCAGTAGTCCTTGCTCCACTCCCCAGGCCATCTCTCTCACAGCACTGCTGATCTCGTGACGGGACGTGTATGCAAAGCAGATGTTCAAGAAACACCTGAGGAAGAACAGAATAATTTACCAAAGGGACTAAGGATTAGGATCACTGATTCCAGAGCACCCCTTCCCTGCAAGGACAAACACAAACCAAATGCTAACCATGGACACCTCTGAAAGGTCGGATTATGAATTTTTGGTTTCCCAAGTTTTCTTGGAATAAACATGCTATTAGTTTTGTAATAAGACAAGTACTAAATGACCTTTATTATCCTCCTAACCCCCTTCCCTTCTACTGTCAACAGCTTTCAGAGGAAGTGAATCCACTGTGATATTAGCACAAGCAAGACAACAGGAAGGAAATCTGATGCAAAATAAATCCACTGCCAAACATATATTCCAAAGCCTCACAAAATGAAGTTTGGATTACTGAACTCTGTTTCCCTCTGCATCTGCACAACCACCCAAGGTCATCCTATCCATGGGTTAATGGAGTGGGACAGAAAAAGAATTTCTTGAAAGATCTGCCTTCAGGGACAGGAATAAGGCTACATTCCCACCCTAAACCTTTGTGGGGGGTGGGGGTTGAGGCACATGAAATGAAGATGAGAGGCTGTATGTGAGTATACACACATATAACATGCTTTTGCGGAACCATCTCTGGCCTGCCCTGCACATGGAGGAGGAAGCCCCCTCATTGCCTCTGTATCAAAGGCAGACCAAGCAAGGCAGGATGTCTCCCTAAAACTAGCAGGGGTTTCAAAGACTCATATAGGTCCTCAGGGTGAAATCTGAAAACTTACTGGTTGTAGTTCTTGGTGGCCTGCACAGCTTGTGCAATCACCTCCTGGAGATCCAAGGGCAGCAAATGCAGATCACCCAGGACCCGGATACACACCCCATGCTTCTGCAGTTTCTCCCTGATTGGGGGAAAGGAGGCAGGGTTGGGACAGAGCACCTACTGAACTGGAGAGAGCAGGGTGCTTAGATGAAACTCAACCACCAGTTTTTGAGGGCTTTCCTGTGTGTCAGGCACCGTTCTACATGTATTATTTCACTGCATCCCCTCAACAGCTCTGAAAGGAGTTCACCATATTCCCCATTATAGCAGGCAACAGGCTCAGATAGGATAGTCGGGCAGGGCTGCCCAAGGTCATACAGATACCAAGTGCTGTATCAGAACTAAAACCCAGGTCTGTCTGGTTGGAGAACCCAAACATGACACCGCCTCCTGTGTCCTTGTCGGCACGTTGCATTTTACATATTCTGTGCTATGCTTGTCCCATTTTAACAAGTGAATAAACGACTCAAGGACAGAAGCTGTACGAGTATTACTGGTTACTTTTGTATCTTCTGGCAAAATATGATAATGAGTGACATCTAACATTAATTATATGTTTACTTATTAATTATAAGTGCCAGACAATGGTCTAACCGCTTTTCACACATCAACACCTTCCACCTTTACACCAACCTTGGAGGCAGACACCGTTATCATTCCCTTTTTACAAATGAGGAAACTGAGGCACGGGGCTCAGTGATTTGCTCACGATCAGACAGCTGGTGAGTGGAAAGCCAGAATTTGAGCCATCCTCCTATGGACAGAGAGAAGCCTGGCTCCCCTCCCCACCACCGTGACCCACACAGGGACAGAAATGAAAGGCGTGTTCTAGCCCGACTCCACTGGAGCTCTAGGCTCATCTTCCTGGTCCTGGTGCGGGGAGGAGCTGGGCAGACAATGACTGTAATGAAGACTTTAGGCAGTCCTCGCTGGAGAGGGTTCCACACTTTCAAGCAAACAAACTCCATCAAGCTTCTTCTTTGCCCCTTTCTGGCTCTGCTCCCTAAGTGAAGCTTAACCCTAATGACAGCTAAGAATGGTACTGACTCTTCTCCAGAAAGGCTCCTACGCATCATCCCATCCCTTCCAAGGGAATATGCAGGAGAGTGTATTAACTTTTTAGGGATGAATGCACCAGAAAATGCCTTTTTCAATGTTTCTCTCGCTCTATTCCCCTGGCCACAGTTTATTGGGCCTGGAGGGTAGAACTTTGATCTAAAGTGGGCTAATGAAAGGGTTTATTAGTTCATTTACGGCTGCTCTTGTGAAGCACAGAAAGCAGGGCCTCAGAGAGAAGGAAGTGTATGAAGAGGCTCTACCTAATGGATTTCAATCTTGGTTTTGGTTTTGCTTGAGGCTGGCTGTACTTGTCCTTGAATTCTATGACATGCCTCTATATAAAGAAATGCCCCCTTTGAAAAAAAGAAAAACTAGCTTGCCATATTTGCCACTGAAGAGATCTGATTAGCATTAAAAGAGTTCAGAGTTCCTTAAAGAAGCCTCACATAAGAGAGCTAAGGCTTCGGATAAGGCTGGAGGTGGTGCTCTCCCCTCTGACAGCATCTTACTTTTCTTCCATCAAAAGGCTGAATTTCTGCCGGGCCATATCCATTAGCCCGTCTACTTCACTCTTGGAGCGTTTGAAGTTCTCAATGCTGAACGCATAGACGGTCACCTCTCGGATGCCCAGGTTCAAACACCAGTGAAGAGTCTGAGAAGGGAGAGACAAGAAGCTAGGGTACCAGGAAGAGAAGGAAGAGTAATAAGAGGTGCCTCGGCCTCAACTCAGTGCTGGAGGTGAGAGACAGACTTTTCTCCTCCCCAGACCTGGGTAAAGCTAGGACAGGGGTCAGCAAACTGCGGCTCATGAGCCACATGCGGCTCTTTGGGTACGTTTCGTCTCAACCCACTGAAATGACCCCAGAAGAGCCAATCCTGTCCCTTACAACAATTTAAAAATTATTCGAGAGCCATCAATATATTTTTACATAATCACCATTATATATCCTTTATAATTTTATAAATGAAACTATGATAGTTTTATTTTCATTTTCAATTTTACTTCAGAACCTTATGTACGTACCCAAAGAGCCGCATGTGGCTCGCGAGCCCCAGTTTGCTGACCCCTGGTGGTTCTTCCGTCTCAAAAGTTTGCTGACCCCTGAGCTAGGATAACACAGTGCTTTTATCAGAATGTGAGCCACCACCTGAGAAACCAAAAACTGTGAACTTGAACTTAATGAGTATTACTGTGTCGACACCACTGTGGCCTAATGGGAAGAATTCTTCACTGAGAGAGTAAAGATCTAGGTTCTCGTCCTTAGCTCCATCACGCACTTGCTATGTCACCATAGGTAAATCATTTAACCTCTCCAGGCCTAAGTCTCCTTATCTGTAAAAACAGACCACAATCCATTCCCCACAAGGTGGCTACAGGACAATATAAAAACACAAAGCATTTTTACTCACAGCATAACTTCATTATTCTGAGAGGCTGATGGGTTATAAGAATAACCCTTATCTAAGAATTTGAGTCTGCAAAGGGTTTTCACATACATTTCAATTGATTCTTCAAACAACCCCTTGAGACTGTCATTATTGTTTTCATACCTACTTTATAGATGATTAAAACTGAGGCTCAGAGAGTTGAAGAAATGTGTCAAAAGTCCACAACTCTACTGTATGAATCCATTATATGAAGTTCTAGAACAAAAACGAATCTATAGTGGTAACTCTTCAGCTTTGTTTCTTCAGTTCTGTTTGAATGTCTTACCTTTCACTTCCAGGCTCTCCATCTTACCACTAATGCCTTCACAGACATCCACACAAACCGTTGCCTTAGGAAAATTACAGTGAGAACCTGACACTTGAATAGGCTCAGGGCTTACAGGGTCTTGGCTGGCACATCTGTGTTGGAACCCACCACTGACCTCAGTCAATATAGATGCCAATTAAACAACAGCTTCAATTTTTTTTACCTTTATGCCAGGCCCTGTGCCACATGCTTTTCATTGTGCCATCTTGTTTAATCCTCACATAATCTCCTGAGGTAGAGATTATCGCTATCCCTGCTTTATAGATGAAGAAACTAAGACAAAGGAGAGCTACATAACTAGCTGCAAGTCACAGAAACAGGAAGTGGCAGAACAGGGGTGCCAGGGAGTTCTCAGTGACTCCAGAAGCTTCAGCAACTAAGCACCAGGCAAAACTGCCTCTTAATTAGTCACAAAAGAGAAGCTGGGGTCAACAACTCTAAAGACGTCCAGAGTATTGGAGAGAATCCCATGGCCACTGGCTCAAGGCAAAAAATATCAATGCTCTAGCACCAGGCTGTGTTCTTGGGCCAGGAAGCTACAGGCCATATTTATAATATACTCTTTTTTTTTTTTTTAAAGATTTTATTGCGGGATTGGGGAAGGAACAGCATTGGGGAATCAGGGAAGGGGAACAGACAAGTTGCTGTCCTTTTGTCCTTCAGTCTAGTTGTGGAGGACGTCGCTTCACTGGCCCATGTTGGTATTATCATTGCGTTCTTCCCGGGTGAGGCAGATAGGTCACCGGCCACTGGACAGCAGCTTACAGCGGCTCTTGGCAGCTCACGCTGGCTGCCAGCCCCTCACAGTAGCTCATGGCAGCCCACTGCAGCAGGGGCTGCAGCCTACGCCGTCACTGGGGACTCACAGCAGCTGAGCTCCAGGTCGAGCCGTTGTTCACCATCTTAGCTGTAAAGGGCACAGCGTCACTGGCCCTCATGTGGGACCCAAACTGGGGCCCTGCTGCTCAGAGCCAGCATCCCAAGCCAACTCTTAACTGATGCGCCACTAGGCCGGCCCAATAATATACTCTTCTTAAAGTTAGATTCACAAAGACTGACACAGTCCATTCTTACTGTTAGATTTAATGTTTTCCAGTTTGCAATATAGAAGATGTTCATGACCTTTGCTTAGAGTCATATCCCAGTTTGTCTGGCCCTTTTCCCAGTTTAAACACTGAAAGATCTGTGTCCTGGGAAACCCTCAGACTCAGGCAAACTAGGAAGGATAGTCAGACTACCTTTGCTCCAGAAATGTCACTTTGTAGAATTTATTCTAAAATACTACTATTTATAATGTCCAATAATAGTGGAGCAGCTAAATAAATTATGTTGGATCCTGATAAAATGTTCTATACTCATTAAAACATTAATGATATCAGAAAGGCTATATATCAATCAAGATATATATCAATCAAGAAAAATACTTGTGAAATGTCAAATAAAAATAAGGTTATTAAAGCTATAGATGTAAGTTTATAAATGCTAAGTCATGTTAGAACATGTTATAGGGACTAGCATGAGGCACAGAAAAATATAAACTGTTGATTGGTTAAACGTGATAAGAGGAGACAATTTTGTTCTTATTTCTAATATTTTGTGATGAGTCACTGGCTGATTCAATTTTTTGTTAATGTCCATATAAGACCTATAGCTAGCAGGCAAGCAATAAAACAAACAACTATAAAACACACTCTCAAACCACAGTAAACCCAGGGTCTGGTTTTTTAGCTATAATCCAATTCTCCACAGACTGTACACCTTGGGTTTTGCCACCGACACCCACCTCAGCCAGCTTGTTGAAGCCATGTGAGTGGCCCTCCTGCCGATCTACTTGGCACTTCTTGGCATAGCGACGGTTCCCATCCATTATAAATGCAACGTGTTTGGGTATTGGACCTGCCTGTGAAGTGAAAAGACAAATGATGAACACATCACATACTTTTCAGCAATTAAGGGAGACACAACACCCCATGCTGATAGGCTTGAGCTAGATGATAAAAGCTCCGAAGAAGGAAATTGGGTATTTTGTGCTTTTAGCTCAATAAAAGGGTATTAACACACTTTTATTTATATGTTTATTAAGCATTTACTACATGCCAAACACTATGCTAGGCTTTTTATACCTCACCTTAGTCTTTTTATCCTATAACTCTATAATAGTGTTATCTTCATTTTATAGGTGAAAAAAACTGAGGCGCAGAGAAGTTAAGTGACCTGCACAATTCATACAGCTAAGAGGCAAAGTGGGGATTCAAACTGAGGTCTGTGTTCCTCTTTTAACCATGGTCTTAACCATCACTTTGGTTTCGTTAGTCTCCAGCTGGAAGGCCCAGGAAGGATATTAACAGGTGTGGTCAGATGGAAAGGACATCTTCCACATAAAAGAGGCATTTGCTCCTCAGCTCTATCCAACTGCTGACACACAGGAATGGGGCCTAATGTTGGCGGGTCTTCTAATTTTACAAGAGCTGCCAAATATCAGAATTTTTGTAAAAATTTAAATGTATGGAGCCATTTCAAAGCAAACAAAAGACACTGTGGGGGCCAAACAAAACTTATCTGGCTTTTAGTGGCCTTTCGTTGTCTACCACAGCAAAAATTCATCCCTTTTCCCTCACTGGATGGCTCTTCACAGGCTGCTTGCCCTGTACCTCTCCAACATTTTCTACTTTTGTCCCCTACATATAGATGTTAAAAAAAAAAAAAATTTCCAGTCAAATCCTGCAGTTTGTTCTTCCTAACACATGACTGCAGTGGTTCCCTGAGGAGCTATTTCCATATCCTGGCCTGCCAGAGTACCCTTGGCATGTGTGTCTGTGAGTCTGTATAAGGCTTACTGACTCATAAGTTCACTGCTACCCACTACTTGACAGTCTGTGGCTGAAAAACAAAACCAAGCAGGCTGGCTTCAATTCAAACCTGTCACATGCAGAGCATATAACATTGCTGTGAATCTTAGAGAAAAAGCTGAGGGGAGATTTGGGGAAGCAAGGGGGGAATAGAGGGAATATAGTGATTATAGTCCTCAAATGCCTAAAAGACAGCTCCGGTAATAGCAGTAATTAAGAACTGCTAGCCACTGAGCTAAAAGCTTTCTATGTATGTTTCACTGAATCTTCAAAACAACCATTTCAAGTCACATGATTAATAAATGATAGAATAGGACTTTTGTTCATGTTTGTCTGCCCCAAAGCCCAAACTCAACGTTATGCTCTACCACACCAAATTAAGATTACTCTGTCTAAATCCAGAGGCACTAGGAATAACCGATTAACATTCCAGGGGAACAAATTTCAGTTCTCTATAAGAAAGACCTAACAGTCTATGCTGCCCAATGCTACTAGGAGGTCCTTGGCTTCCTGAAAATGTGAGTTAGGACAATAATCTGCCAAGAATCTAGACCGGGAATTTACCTTACATTGCTAAATTCCACTCAACATCATGGATTACTCAATTTGAATAACAGGTTTTGATACAAGATTACCCAACTGACCAGGTCAACTGGTGCTGTGGGCCATTGCTCACCTTTATGATGTTGGCACAGAACCGCTCCCACAGTGACAGCTTTCCTTCTTTGATCCATGACATAGTTCTTGACCAAGCAGAAGATAAACCCAGAATAAGAAAACACCAACCGGGTAACCCTGGATAAACAAGAAAGAGAATCAGAAATCAACAGGGCTTGCAAACAGTTACAGCTGACTTGCAGAAATTCACCTGGACTGTGGAGAGCAACCAGCATTAGAATCCAAAGACACTGGTCTAAGTCTCCAATCTTTCATCACCCAGAGTTTATAAATAAGCCAATGGGACCTCTGAGTCTGAGGCCTTTCCTTGGTTCGCCTGGCACGGTGGACTTTGCTCCCATCCCTTGGTATCTGCATTGTCTTTTTCAGAACATCTGAGTCGGCTTCCTGTCACATCATAGTGTCTACATCCCGATATTACCCAGCTTCTTCCTTCTCCATCTTCCCTCAGGCCGTTTCCCACTCTGCGCTCCCAGTTACTAATCCTTTCAGCTGTCACTCCCGTTACCTCCTACCTCAGTGGTCTCCACTTGTTATTCATCCCCTCACTTGTGTTTTCCATTGTTCCCTTTGTCTCTCCCATGGCTGCCTCCCCGCCGTTACCTTTCTCTCGTTCACCTCTTGAACGCAGCACTAACTCTGCTCCGCCCGGCGCCTTCCAAACGCTCCAGTGGGTCAACACTTCCTCACAACCGGGCGCTGGAAGAACACGTCATCGTTGGATGCCGGGGCACGCCTTTCCCGCCCCTTAGTAGGCGTGGCCATGCCCCGCTCCTGCAGGCCGGGAGGAGCAGCGGTGCGAGCCTACCCGCCGCAATTCGCGCTCCCGGGAAATGGGAGGAAAGCGCGCTCACGTGACCGAGTAAGATAGGCGGCTCTGCTTTAGGCCACGTGCTGAGGACCCGGCTGGGGAAGGCGGGGTCGAGACCACCTCGGGAACCAGAGAGGTCCGTAGATCCAGACTGGGAGGCCTTAAGCGGGTTATGCTACAGGGCAAGAATTCGTTGATCCTCCCCTAAGAAATACAAGGGCTTCTCAGCCGCTGGTGGCAATTTAGGACTGATGAGAAGGCAGCACCCTGCTCGCGGAAGGCCTTGGAAGGCTGCAGAACTGGGCTTCAGAGCCCTGGTATATATCTTAATTCCACTGACTTTTTGCTGTCTTACTTAGTGGCTTTAATCGTTTGGGATGTTCTTAGCCCTAGTCAATCGCACAGATGCAGTATGATGATTTAAGGCATTCAGACTTTAGGATTTGCAGATTCTCAGGACCTACCCAAAGGAACTCTCAAAACAGGGTTGAGGCCAGAAAGAGCTCTGCTGTAAGAAAGGCTATCAATTAACCCTGATAGAAAAAGCAAGGACATTAATTAGCTCTGTACCAAACCTTTGGGGAAAACTTGCAGGAATTTGAGGCACTGACAAAGAAATTGGGAGTTCAATTTTCTCAAAATTAAAAAGGAGGAAAAAGTAAACTTGTACAATTTTCAAAGAAACTTCTTGTAGTTTCTCACTTCGGATTGCCGTGACACCAAGGAATCAAGCAAGGAAGAGATATTGCACTGGGTAACCCCCAATTCATTGTGTTTTCCACTCTTCTGGTTACTTTTACCAGGCATATTATGTTCAAAGAAAGCCCTCTAGATGAGTAATCCACCAATAAGTGGTCTTAAACTTTCCCATCTTCCTTGCTTTGCATCCTGGGAAGCAAGCTTCAGCCTAGCTGGCTTCCATGGTGAGCTTTAAGACTGATACAAAGTCCCTAGAGTGGATGTATGAAACTTCTTACCCTTGTTTTGCTAATGTTTCAGTGTACTTTGTGTAATAGCTGGTATGCAAGTTTTTTTTTTTTTGTTTTCCTTTTTAAATTCTCCTTCCCTTAGGGGGAGCTATATGTTTAAAAACACAATGTTCATTAGCAGGCTAGCAAACTTGGGTTCAAATAAAATGTTAATGTTGTTTATAGCTAATCAGTGTATCTCCTCTGGCCTCAATTTCCCCAGTTCTATGTTTCCCTCCCTGGAGTGCTGCAGGGGGTTAATTAATTAAGATTTGTAAAGGGCTTTGAGGAGCAGCGGACAAAGTATTAGTGTCTCATGCCCCAAGGCATGGCCCCATCCTTTTATCCCAGCCAGTGGCACAGGCAACCCCATTCTTATGCATGCCAAGCTCCTAATCCCCTCTTGAATGTGGCAGCTTCCAAGGAAAAGGACAAGAGGCCTTAACTAGAAATAAAAATCCACTGTAATGAGGTGCTGAGGACTGAACTTTCCAGATTCATTCCTAACAAAATGGCTGAACAGAAAACTAATGGTTCTTCTGTGACTTCTAAGTCCCAATCCAAAAAGGTGGGCATTATGGGAGAAAAGCACCCTATATATCTAACAAGGAAATGACAGTTTCAGTACGAATAAGTATTTATTTTATTTTCCCAGGGAAGAGGGGAAGGAAAAGGGTCAGCATGTGTGTTACAAAATGATAACAAATGGAAGTACCCGGCACAGCAAAACCAACCATCAAATAAACAGTCCCCTGTGATGGGGATTACCAGAGCCCAAGGGGGCTCAGTCTCCTGCAGTTCAGAAATGAGGGGAAGGGATCAGGGAAAGAACAGATAGGTACATGCTTTCCTCCCCTCCCTCCCTCCCCATAAATTCAAGATTTCACACAAAGCTTTGGTTTCTAGCAGTAAACATGGAGTTACATTCGTCTGTCTCCTATTAAACAATCTTGTGGCTACTTTGACATAAGTTTCTTACACCTGCATAAAAGTTCCTGAATGTCTTGGATTTACATTCATCTTCCCTTTCTTGGTCTCCCAACCCCACTTTCAAAATGGAAGGGTCCCCTCATTGCTTCTCTCTATCCTAGTGTTAAGAGATTAAAGTAGGCTTGATCTATCCAAATACAGTAATCTAAGTGTTTGGCATGAATTTCATATCAAAGAATGGTCTTGACTTGGGAGATTAGGAACAAGGGATGGAGTATTCTTAGCTTCTTCAGGGTTTTTGCACAAATCATTTAAGAGACACCCCACAAATTAAAAGTGTGTGGGTGTGTGGGCTTTTTTTTGGGGGGGGGGATAAGAGACAGGGTAGGAGTCAAGTTGTTAGGACAGAAGATCTGATCCAAAATGGGCAATAGGGGAAGGGGAAACGAAAGGATGGTTAAAGACCCCCACTGCAAGAGGGATTCCCAAGCTTACGTTTCAGATCCTTTTTGCCTGGTGCAGAACCTTTTGTCAAAGATGCTTTGGCTATTTTTCTCATACAAAAAGAAGTTTGTAAACATAAAACCCCAAAAGAACATGAAGAAAGACCAACACATTATATTTACACAAACTAGGCCACCTAGCAATCACCAAATCAGCTACTCGTGAAGTCCTACAAAAGCCCAGACAAATACAATAACTAGAGGGGGGCAGCAATTGGGGGAGATAAGAACCCAGGATGATCAGACACATATCACCCAATGCGTTCTATTGCATTTGCCCCGTTTCAACACAGAGAGGTAGGTTTTCAGTGATCTCACAGCATGTAAACGAAACCCTCTTTTCTCCTTTAGCTACCACAACACTAACATCACTGCTGTAGCAGGGCAGGACGCTGGCCCTGGACACCACAAAGAAGCCATCGTTTATGGTCTCTCTGGAAGCCAAGGAGGAAAGGCCCAGAATTTTTAAAGGTTAAGGAATTGAGTCCTTTCTTCATATAACCATCCCCAGGCAGCTCAAGATGGGTTCAGTTATTGTTCTTAAAACCTATCTTTACCAACTCATATTTTTCACAAACACACACACATACACTTTGTTGTGCATGGGAGGCCTAGTCCAATCCAGTGAAGGATGGCTCTGGTATGTAAAGTGAGTCCCAAACCCTGGGATTAGAGGTCTGGAACAGGAATCCTTTATCACACATATATAGACAACCCTCACCTAATCTTGGCTTCCCCTCTGCGCCTTTCACCTGGCCCAGCCTCTCCTAACCTCTGCACCACCTATTCCTGTTCAGACCAATTTCCAGTCTTCCAGTAGATCAAGTCATGGGGCCACCCAGTTAAAACCTAGTCTTCCACGTTGAAGGTGGAGGGGTTTCAAGAGGACACTATGGCAGAAAAGCCAGCTCTAATTGTCAAAATGAGGTAGTTCAATAGGATATATACTCCAAGTAGTTGTTCTCCCTGGTGATCAAACAACAAAAAGTATTCCTGCTGTGCAGACCCGGAGCTGCTGCCCCCTTATCCCTGAGATTGCTCATGTACCTGAGAACACAGTGCAGGAATGAGGGCCTTAGATTAAAATACACAAAAATACAAAACCAGAATATTTATATTACGAAAAAAAAAAAAGTTAAAATGCACAAGATACGTCATTCGCACACAGCTAGTGCAGTTGGCATCCTGGAGAAGTGGGACCCAAGGTGCAGTTATCCAAGGGACCAAATAAATAAAATTATATTGGCCCAGAATGGGGTGGGAGTGAGCTTAGGAGCAGCAGGTCTGCAGCCATTCCCCAAACCACCCCAGTTGCCTGTTGTCACAACCCATTGCTTGGGACAGTTCTCAACACCCTATCCCAAGAGTGGGTTATGAGGAGACAATATGCCGAAAAACCCTGCCTTACCCCTGAGAGATGACCTCCCACAGAATGTAGCATTGTGGGTTGGGTCCATCAATCTGGTCTCACACATAATCTTTTCACTCTGGCATGGGAAATATGACATATCCTTCTTTAAAAGGAAGGCAGCTTCCCTATCCAGGTCACTTTCAAAAGCTGGAGATTCTGGGGGTGGAGACTCAGACAAAGCATGCAGGGAGAGATTTCCCCCAAAGCCTTCACATGCATTTGGATAGAGTATGATTGGAGTTCCTTTGCCTCACCCCTTCCCCCCTGCCAAGAGGGAAGAGGGGGTGATGCTGTGAACCCCGGCCTGAGATACATGGCAGTGCCAGCTGCCCTCTACCCACCCTGTCCCCACTTTCTCCATTCTGCCGATTGATGCCTGCTTCTTGAAACTTCCTGATCACAAAAGGATAGCCCTCCCCCCCAACCCCCACCCACTATGGCTCAATTCTGTGCCTCTGGGAGCAGGGCAGGGCTATGGATCTCTTCTTCTTCCTCCCGGAAATAGGCTGGCTTTCCTTGTGAGCTGGGGGCCTGCTGGGCTTTCAGTGGACACGAGGCCACCATATGGCTGATGCTCTGGCAGAAGTGGCACTTCTTGGGCTGGGGTGGCAGCTTGCATTCCTTGGCATGATGGTCTAGACCTCCACAGTTGTAGCACCTAGTACAAAGCAGGATGGTAAAGTTGAGAAAAGAGTTGAGATCAGAAGCCCTTCTCTCAGTGAGGATTGCTGGGCTCTGGTCCAGTTGTTAGTATACTCACTTCCCTTACTGGAGACCAATTTCCCCACTATAAAAGGAGGAATATGACTAGATAGCTCAAAGTCCTTTCCACATCTGTAATTGTCTAGATGCTTTCTTCAGCTTCATGTCAACTTGGAAATATTGAAATGCCAAGAATGGAAATCACGGACCCCAACCGGGAACTGCAATTTGGGGGATAGGTAAGATTCTACCATATCCTTAAAAAAACTGTACCTGTCATTCATTAAAAAATATGGAAGAGGGGGCCGGCCGAGTGGCGCGATGGTTAAGAACTGGCTTGGGACGCCAGAGGGCCCCAGTTCGGATCCCACATATGAGGGCCAGTGAC